AAAAAAAAAAAAAAAGCCTCCTTAAAAAAGAGAGAGAGAAGAATGACCTCCATTGCCATCAATTCTAGCTGAGTCTTTATCTCAGCAAATGATAATGACACTTAAGCAGGAATGTAACTATGGTGTGGTGCCAGCCATAAGAATTCCAATGAGCCCTGCTTAACCTGCTTTCTGTTAGCCCAGCCTCGTATCTGTCAAGACTCTGGGTTTTACATGTTACTTAACTCTTCTTCTCCATCTATTAGCTCCTTTAACCTCAGAATAACTCTGTGAACCAAGTGTTTTGTCTCCATTTTACTGGTGATCATGGAGGCAAAATGCTAGCTCTGTGGACCACACAGCTAATACATCATGGTGACTCCAAGTTGTAGGTGAAATTTTCAGGGCTGATTTTTGTATGTTGTAAGTGAATTGTAGGAGAGGCAACAAAAAGAGTCAATTCTCAAGAGAAGGAGAGAGAGCACTTGTGCACTGGAAGGAAGTTCATGAAAATCTATTCCTCTGATAAGAGACACAGCCTCTGCCCTCCTCATTTTAACATTTCCCTTCTGTGTGTAATGTCTCTGCCATGAAATATGGTTTTAACACCAAGGAAGGTCAATATCAGACTTCTGGAAGCCAACACAATATCAGGAGAAAAAACAATTCTCGTAGGATATTTGTCCATAGAGATTTTAAAGAATAGTGTAGAGGAGGAAGTGACTCCATTCAGGCCTTATCTCTTTTTACAGGAACCCAGTGACCCACCAGAGGACTGGACAGTTTAAGGCCAGCTCCAGAAACAAATGGAAGACAGTTCAAGTACTTAATATAAAAACCTTTTTAAATTTCTTTTTCTTTCCTCCCTCCCTCTTTCTTTTTCTTTTTCTTTCTTTCTTTCTTTCTTTCTTTCTTTCTTTCTTTCTTTCTTTTTCTTTCTTTCTCTCTCTCTCTCTCTCTCTCTCTCTCTCTCTCTCTCTCTCTTATTGTTGGTCCCCTAGCAACAACTCAGTTCCATTTGGTTCAGCCACCTGAGAACCAAGTGAACTATGTGCCAGGTACTGTTCTAGGGCCTCTTCATATAGAGATAACATATGAGGAGGATCCTATGACCAATTTGGATTTAAAAAGCTTTTTCTAATATCACTCTCAATCCATGTGTACTCACTATGTGTTTTTCTATAATCCTCTTTCCAGAGCTTATCTGTGTATGTATAAGGATTGTATTCTATTGGATTCAAATATTTCTTACGCCTTTTTTTTGAAGAATAAAAGATTGAAGTCAAGACTGGGAATATTTCAAATCTATGCTGGTTCCATGCACACTATTCAAGTTTCCTAAACTAGTCTCTTGGCAACCATGACTCAGGCCAAAAAGCAAAATGTTTGGTGGCTAGGATAATTGAGTCATTTTCCTTCCTTCTTTTTCTGTCTCTTATTATCTTAACTGAAATGAACATTATCCTAACTGGCCATATTTTCAAATGAACACAAATTTATAGCACATTAATGGTTAGGTGATTTGCTTTCATTGCATTTTATGTTTCATGGAGACACCTTGTCACTTTCCGAATCTAAAATATGGATTAATGATCCTTTATGGAAAAAAATGTTGGAATTATGATATTTTCATAGGCTTCTCTAAATACTTACAATTTCTCAATCCCTTAGTTTATAAGTCTTTGCAACTTACAAACCCACATATGTTCCCCAAATGGAGACATACCTAATCCCTGGACGGATTTGTCCAGCACTGGGAAAGGGCCTCTGCCAGAAAACACCTCACTCTGATCAATTAGAGCTTCCTTTACTGCTTCATATCCGTATATCACCACAGTGGGCTTGATGCCAAAGTACACAGTGAACACAGGGCCGTAACTCTCTGCTAGCTGGGAAAGCAATATAAGGTACAGGAGTAGTGAGAATTTCAAAACTAAAAATGTAGATAAGTCTCTTTACTCAAGAGATATTTTATACTCATTCACCTAATAATAAAAGATCTCAACTTCTAGAACTAGTAACTTAATCACATTAAGTGGTAATTATATTATTAGACACATTGCTATTATTATTGTCATCAATAGTTAACCTTTATTCAGCTCCTACTATGTGACAGATATTATATTATGGAATTTATTCATATTCTTTTATTAAATTTTGTCTGCCAAACCTACAGCTGCACCAAATTTCTTTCTTCCTATAGTTACAATAATGTGTTTCTTGTCCTGCTTAAGGGAGGCTCCTCCATCTTGTCCCATGTGTAGACTACCAGTCATCCCTCATTATCCACTCTCTACGTCTTTTTAGCACTAGAGACCTCTAAATACATAAGGACATGGCAACATGGTCGCAGACATTTCCCAGCTTCCCTGTGCGGCCATGTGACTAAGTTTTCGTGAACTGATATTAGCAGAAATGATGTGTGCAAATCCTATGCTTTTGTATAAATGGTAATTGCATGCCCTCCATTTCTCCCCCTACCCGGGGACTGAAAGGACAGCATGGGAACAACCTCACTGCCTCCATGCACATGAGAACAATAGCCTAGGTGCCCAGGATGGTCAACTAGAAGACAAAGAAAAACTGGTTCTCTAGATGACCGCAAGGAAGAGAGGCAGCCCAGCAGCACTCACCTCGATCTCATGATGTGAGATAGAAATAAGCTCTTATCTTCCTGAAGCCATTGTGTTATTGGGGTCTTTCTGTCATGGCAGCTTCTTTGGTATACTAAATTACTCCTTCAACTTGTCCAAGGTTTGAGTCCTCCTGCTACCTTACAATTCATTCTCCATAAAGCAACCAGAGTGCTCTTTTCACAAGGCAAATGTTAACATGAGAGTCCTTTAAGCACGTTAATGGCATCACATTGCTCTTGTGCTAAAGACCAATATTCTTTTTTTTTTAATGTTTATTTTTGAGAGAGCGAGAAAGAGAGAGAGATAGAGCACAAGCAGGGGAGGGGCAGAGAGAGAGGGAGACACAGAATCCGAAGCAGGCTCCAGGCTCTGAGCTGTCAGCACAGAGCCCGACATGGGGCTCGAACTCATGAACCGAGATGGCTTGAGCCGAAGTTGGACACGTAAGTGACTGAGCCACCCAGGTGCCCCAGGACCAATAGTTTTAAAAGCCTTGTAAGACTTGCATTTCTGGCAACTATTTCTCCAATCATATCCCACACCATGTTTTTACCAAATTGGTCCTCTTTCAGAGACAATAACAACTAATTCTCCTCCAGAATGAAACCGCCTGGAATGAACTTCCATCTGCATTTTGTCTGGTTAATGCTTGAACATTCTTTAGATCTCAGCTTCAGCTTCACTTCTTCAGAGAACGCTTTGCTGACATTCCTCCCATTCCTGCTCCACCGAGCTGCATGGCCTCTTTCTATTGTGTCCCTGTTACATGGTTTGTAATCACACACTTATTTGCGTGATTATTTTACAAAACATGCCTACCCTATAGACTATAAATTCCATAATGCCAGTGTCTGTTTTTTCTTTTTCATTTACCATTGAAAATCCCCAGCACTGGGGCACCTGGATGGCTCAGTCAGTTAAGCATCCGACTTTTTGATTTTGGCTCAAGTCATGATCTCACAGTACATGAGATCAAGCCCCATGTCGGACTTTGTGCATGGACCCTGCTTGGGATTCTCTCTCTCTCCCTCTGCCCCTCCCCTGCATGCTCTCTCTCTCTCTGTCTCTCTCAAAAATAAATAAATAAACTTAAAAAAAAAAAAAACCAAATCCCCAGCATCTAACAAAGTAGATATTCAATAGCTTGTTGAATATATGATATATTGAAGGACCCTGCACAAAATAGAACTGTTATTCACATTTCAAAGGAATGGAAATTAACACTGAGAGAGATTTTTAAAACTTGCCCAATGCTGTGAGTTAACAAGCAGATGAGCTAGGGTGCTGACATAATCTCTTTCAATCTCTTAGCGCAAAACACAGAAAGGGGTTTCCAGAAGCTGTGCTCTGGTAACTAGCTGTCTCAGCAAAGACAGATTTCAGACAATCCCTTCAAGATTTAGAGAGGTACTGCTATATAAATAGCTAGGAATAGAGTAGTTATTCACACATTCATTGAGCAAATATAATAGAAACAATTCTGGGACCGTATTTCCTTGACTTAAAAAAATGTGTGTTTTTAGGAAATTATTAGTGTTGTGATCTGTAGATCAGAACTTTTTTTTAAATTGAAAACAGTTTCATTGCCATTAGAGTTTACCAAAGAATAATTACTGAAAAGGGGACCTGCTCACAACATGGACAGGGAATTCCTTCTTTTGGCAATTTTAACAACCATCTCATGGATCTCATCCTCTCTGGCAACCTTCTAGCTGGATACCCAATGAACACTTCTCTTTAAAATCACTTCTTTTCTTCTTAATATGAAATTTATTGTCAAATTGGTTTCCATACAACAC